TGAAAATTTTATTATAAAATTAAAAACCCCCACCCCGATTCAGTAAAAAGAAAGAAAGGGATTAAGGAATAAAAAGATGAATTCGCAAATGCATGAATAAGTCACCAACTTGTTAACAAGTGGATTGGGTGGACCTAAATGCGCTGGAGGAGGTAAGTCATGGGCTGCTCCAGACTCTCTCTGGGTGAATTCTTGCACCACAAGTCCACCTTTTGAGAGACATTTCTCTTTCCCTACATCCAGTCTGAACCTTCCCAGCTGCACTTTGTAGAGGTTTCCTTCTCTTCCCATTAGCAAGAAAACCTCCATCATCTCAGAAACCACCCTTCAAGTAGCTGTAGGCTGCTATTACAGTGTTAATTCAGCAGGCGGAGTGAACATCCCTCAGCAAGGCCACCTAAAGAAGGCTTCTCGAGGAATGGGTGATGCCATCAGTATAGAGAACCTAGCACCGTGGAGGAGCAGCGGGAAAAGCCAATGGTCTGGATCAAGAACTTCTTAGCAAGACCTGAAAGGAAAGGTGGTGTCCTTGGGTACAAGGTACCCCATGCTCCGGGAATAGGGCACTTCATCTGCAACATTAACACTGATACCATCTCAGCACCCCCTTCAGGCCTGCAAAAGGTATACTCCAGCTCCCTCCTAAGGGTAGTCAGAAGCCCAGGACTGGCCTTTCCATTCACCACACCATTCTTCAGAACAAGCACAAAAACCCAGACACCACCTTCAGTACTTTGATTTCTGAGTATTTATTTTACTTTATTAGAAATTACAAAGACACTCTCTCCAGGAGAGCAAGGAAAAACAAAACCCAACCCTGAAATATTTCCAAGCAATTCTGTTCCATATAAACACAAGCAAAGTTACATATTTCATTCACATGCACGTACAAAAACATCTTAAGTGAAACATCCTTCAGGCAGAACATGTCCATTAGTCTCAGAATCAAGCACATAATCAGACTGGCCTCACTTACCCTACCTAATCTTATTTTCCTGTTTTAAGCTGTAAATTTCTACGCAAGAAACAGCTCTTTTTTTTTCTGCACAGCATTATGCACATTCGAATTAGCATGGATGGTCTTAGAATTAAATCACTGGGTGGCACAAGCTGCAGTACAGCTGTATACTAAAGCTGTTACACTGACGTCTATATAGTGGACTTTGTTGGGTACCAGGGAGAACTCTTCAAAAGGAATAAAAAGGTATTGCTAGAGGGACAAAGGAGTGTGACACACAGCGCTCTCTCAACTGCGACCCTGTATGATTCCCATGCAAAACACTTCAAAAGCCAAGTAATTCACAGATCTTCCTCTCCAAATTGATATCAAAGGTCTCAACAATTTCAGTCACGGCAAAATAATTCACTAAAGACATCAATGCTACTGGATTCAGACGCGGCCAATACGCAATATTCCAATTTGCCATCCTCCCACCTTTGGGTAGAGAAGGGAAAGAGAAGAAAGAACCAACAAACTGCAGCCTCCTGAGGCAGGTGGGTCAGCAGAGCACTTTACCAGTGACCAGTAGGAAACTACAACTGCCAGAGCATTCCAACCCACTGCATAATCTCACTGTGGCTTAACATCTGGGCATTACATGGTCAATGACCTCCTTGTTGTTGCCCAAGGCTGCATTAGCACCTAGTGAGATCTGATCTGATTCATCAAAAGAGCATACTGTCTGTATCTGACTCTGTGAGCCAGGCTTGAAATTTCACTGTTTCGCACATGATGAACACCACTGTAAATCCAAGGACTGTAAACGCTCGGAGGGGAAGGCCTCACCCAGAAGGTAAAGCTTCTACAGGTATAGGAAGAAACACAAATGTCAGAAACAGCACAGCGTAACGGCAGAACAGGAGGTACAGGTTTTACTCTGCCATCGTTTTTAAATGTACAAGCGATACAAACGCATTTCACATCTCTGCATAAACACGCACCCCCAAACGCTTCTCTCTTACACTGTAAGAGCACAGCTGAATCAAAGGAGGGTGTTTAAATATACTTGAAGCACTCCTGGCTTGTTGCAGAGTGTGTGTTAGAGAGAAATGGGTGTGAGAAAGTGATGTAAAATAACACAACTAGAAGTAAGACAGAACATCTGCAAGTGAGCAGTATAAAGACAGTACTGAAGGTTGACACTCAGGAGGTGTCACCAATGCCCCTGGAGAACACTAGATTCCTATGTTTAGCCCACTTTAGCCCACCCATTTAGCAAATGAGCAAGCGATGCTGGCAGCACTCTGTCCTCTAGCTGCTAAGAATAGTGCAAGGGACTTTGCATAGGTGCCCCAGCCTCAAGGATACTTGAGTAAAACAGTTTGGGCCTTTCTCTGTAGATGCTTTGCCACCGATAGGTGCTCTCCTTCAGTATGAGACACAAGGGCCAAACTGGGCTAAACCTTGAGGCCCCAGCCTAGCACATTCTGTGTGCTGTGGTTGTGGTCTGCTGGTTTGGATAGCTGGGCAGTCTGCTTTTAGCCCTGTACTACCATTTGAACAGCAAGCTCTGCTAAATGTGTAGAAAAGAAGAAGCACCAGCCCAGCAGGAGGAAGTCTCTTCTGATTCCCATACAAAAAAGGCTAAAGGCAGGTCACTTAGCTGAGATACTGATGGTGTGGATGTCTTCAGCTGAGGCAGTCAAGTTGAAGTCACTTCCTGGGCACACAAAGGGAAAACATACATTTCTAAAAATGCCCTTCATCTGACCTGCTTTATACTTCAAGGTAGATGAACTGCAACCTCAGAATGACTATTTCTCTTCAGCTACAAATGTGACCCAGAGGAACAAATTAGATGCAGGCATGTAAAACTGAGGGAGAAAATATCACCCCAACTGTCCTCCTTGTAGCTGGGCAGTCGAATAACACAGTTGTGCTGTTCTTCATGACACGAAGTTTTGCTTAAAACCAGTACCGTACAGGTCAGTAACATTTCAGTGTCCATCTAAGCATTCACCAGCCAGCAACAGTCCTGCCAAAATGGAAGCAAAGATCACAACACTCACAAAACCCTGAATGATCACAGTCCCTTTCCTGAACAGTGACTAAATCTCAAACACTCTTCTAAGAGGCAAATACTACTGGCTGAGAAAACAGGGACACTGAAGGTTGCCTAATGGTGCCTCAAAGGGAATCAAAACGAAGATTTCCTGATACAATCATATGCTCTTCTACTACTGACTAGGCTTCAAATAGCTGGAATTTACTCCCCAGGAGAAACCTTTAAAACTGTGATGGGCAGTTTTAACTCTAGTGTCCATAAAAGCCTGTGGTCACACATTCTTATAAAACATGGAGGAATTTCATGTTTGGCTTCTACTTCTATAAAGTGGAAGAGAAATACAGTTAGGAAAAAAGATTAAGGCTAGGCATGTTATCACAAAGAAAAATACTATGCCTGGAGCTCATTCTTTCAAAAGATAAGCTTGCAATTGTAAGGACAAATGGGAGGTTTGGTAAATCCCCCTCAAACACCCCAAGGGGTTACAGGTATAAAGCCAGTTTAAGTGGCTGTTCATTCTTGATTCATGTTCATTCCAGCTTTTTTGATAGATACACACATTGAATCAAGTTAAAGACCACGCTGATCAAGTGAGGGTTGTGCAGGACAAGAAAAAATGCCATCAGTCAGCTGAGCCATAAAAGAAAGCAGCAAAACAGATTCTGTTTCAGACTAAGCTGTCAAGATAACAACTTTGAATACAAAACCTCAGCCAGCCTGAAGCTGCTGCACTCAAATCAATGAGAGCAAAGGAAAAGTTTACATTGCCAATATTGCCTCACACCAATAGTAAAAGCTGCTTCATTCTCTCCAGAAAACTACATCAACTTCTCTGACCAGACGATCAATAAATCAATCAGGGAAGAAGCTCTGATGGGCGTCTTTGTAACAAGGAAGAATTACTGGAGAATGCGAAGGTCTTGCCTGCAGCAGACATGGACTTGTACATCTTCAGTAGCAAGTACAAGGGAGAGTCCTGCACCTTTAGGACAACATATTTGGGTTGATTCAAGGAATGTCTTGGCAGGATCTCAGGAGAGACTGCCCTGGCCTTCCAAAGGGGCCCAAGTGTGCTGCCTTATCTCGAAAGGCAGCTTTCTCAAAGTAGAACAGTCCTTGTGACGAGCAGAAATTAAAGCAGGCGTGATAGAAGGCCAGCACAGGTGACCAAGGAACTCCTGACTGAGCTCAAACACAAAGGAAAGAGTACACAGAAGTGGAAGTGAGGATGGGCTGGCCAGCAGGGATACAGAGACAACAGCCTAAGTGTGCAGGGACAGTTAGAAAGGCCAAAGCTCAGTTAGAGTTGAAACTGGTATGAAATGTGCAGAAAGGCTTTTTTAAGTTCACTGGAAGCAAATGAAAGGCTAAAGAAAAAGGGTTTGCAACAACAAGGGTTTACAACAGTGCGGGCAATCTGGTGACAAAGGATGCTCTTTATACTTTGAGGCTGATGCACTCAACACCTTTTTTTGCCTTTTTTGACCGATCTGGTCTGCCTTCAGGCCTGCTAGGTCCCTGGGTCTTCTAGCAGAGTATGTGGGAGTAAAGTATTAGCTACAATAGAGGAAGATCAAGTTAACAACAACTTAAGCCAATTGGACATACCTAAATCCATAGAACAAGACATCTGAAGGCACTGAAGGAGCTGGCTGACGGCACTGTGAGGCTACTCTACAGCATCTTTGCTGGGCCATCATAATCATCAGTGATATTCCCCAATCAGTGAAATACCCTGCACAAATTAGCTGTGCTTCAAGCAGAGGACTGGACTAGAAATGTCAAGAGGTCCCTTCAACCCAAAATATTCAATGATTCTATGACTTAGCACATCTCCTCACAGCTGCTTTCCACTGGTAACTTTGGGATTAATCTGTCAAAGCAAGCCTTGCCACCATCAAATGTACAGGGTGATCTTCAATCTCATGAGTCAAGAGGGAGTAGAGAAGCCAGAAAAGAAGGGAGCTGAAGAGCACCACATCAAACCTCTTCTAATAATTTTATGCAAGGTCCCTCATACATCAGGGCCAGCCCTGTTTATGAATCACAACCATCACAGTATTCTCTTAGTCTGCTTCAAGTCTATTATTATATCTTCAAGACTAAATAAAAAGGCTGTCTGTTTCACATCTTCTTCATCTTTTTCTTGCAGCGCTGGTTGAAGACAGGCGAGGATCCCATCAGACTGTCAGCAGAATGAGAACCGTAGCTGCTCTCAGAGCCATTGGGGCTCTGTGGCATCCCAGCTTCACTCATGCCTGACATTGGTTCCTCAAAGACATCGCTGCCTAGGACCCCATGGCCATGCACATTAGCCTCCTCATTTTCCTGTGGCTCCATTTTCACCTGGGCCAAGTTCCAGAGTGGGGAAGCATTCACCTCAGCCCCTGGAGAAAGAAAAAGCACACAGTAGTAACTAAGTAAAAAGACGGATCACAAACAGCAGATGCAAGACAGCAGCACAGATAAAGAAGGAGCAAAAACAAAGGTACAGGTGAACTAAGCTGGAAGGAAAACAAACAAAACACACCAAGAAATAAGTGAAACAATAAATAAAATTACGTTGCATTTGTTTTTTTATAACCCAGTGATCATTGCTCTAGAAAATACAATGCTAGCCTTTCATAGCAATTCTCCACATGGCTTTCTGCATGAGAAGAAACAACAACTTAAAGACCCCATATCACTCTCCAGGAGTGTCTCAGCAGCAATGAGTACACCAACAGCACACGGACTACACCCTCCACACAAGCAAGACTCTGAGGCAGTTCAGAAGTCATTCATGATTATGAGGTCCTTGCGATGTCTTCAACCTCCTTTAACCTGTCAGACATACTGGACTTCTGCAGCAGAAGTGAAATGAGGGCAGAGGAGTAGGTAAATGGGCTTCCAGCACTGAAATGCAGGCACATAAGAGCTTGCAGTCAGCCACTCGACTGCCTGCCTCCTTGTACTCAACACCCACAGGTCTCATCCCATCCTTCTGCAGAACAGAAGGAAATCTTCTTGGCTAAACCTTGCAGACCCCCTTGCTGAGAAGTAGCTCCTCTGGGCTATTTTGGACCAGTGTGCAACCTGAGCAGACTGAGGATTTTCTGTACAAGACTATGAAACCATACTTCTTGATAACAGCAAATGTTTTTCTCCCCAAGAGCAATAATTATAGATTTCATTATTTCTGCTTATTTACAGTTTAAGAGAGACAAAAAATCCTAGGAAAAACAGACTAATTGGGTTCCTTGCTGAGATGGACATAAACAGCCCAGAACTGAACAAAGCTGGAAATCTTTTCACTTTTAAATCTGGTCCCCCTTGTGTGGGGTTAAATTCAAATGGCTAATAAATAAACCTTGGAAACCAGTTTTAATAAGTTTTCCAAACCTTGTGTCTCGAGGAGCTTCACTGCAGTTTGAAAACACAACCAAACCTCTTGCACTGAGCCCAACCTACTACTGTTCCCTATTATCAATATACTACTCCTCATTAATAGCAATTATACAGAGAACAAATCTACCACCAGTGATTTGTACTCAGTGTTCTACCACCAGTGTTTGTACTGAGAATTCTCCCTTATGAAGGCATTAGGAATCTTTTCCATAGCAGCTTAGCTCAAACCAGGGTTTAGGAGACCTTTGAGATAACACAGCCTACATTAGCTTAGCAGTTAGACAGCAAGCCAGAATGAAAGTACTCGCTGGTGTCCAGTTGCCTTAATGAAAAGTCCTTTTTATGTTCATTATAAGTAAATGTATTCCTCTCAACAGCAACGGACACATCATTAAAACACTTATCAGTTCCACAGAGCTGCAGCTCCAGCCTACACAACAATCAAAAATGCTCACAAAACCTGTGTCTTTCTTTCATCAATTGCTCTTCATTGCTCAGCCTTACTCCTTTCAGCTCTATCAGCTGTCATTGAGAGTGTCACTAATGACTGAAAGTACTTCAGTATGGACACAGGTTATTTCACCTTCAAAGCACTTTAACTTCAACGTACTTTGCAAATGAGATAATCCTCATGTTATCCTGCTGGGTGGAGGAACAAGGTCCCCAGGTTTGCCTCCATTTCCCTAACTGCAATGAAATTAAACAGCTAGCCCACAGCTCATCAGCCACAAGCAGAAACACAAGCAGAAACACAAGCAGAAACACAAGCAGAAACACAAGCAGAAACACAAGCAGAAACACAAGCAGAAACACAAGCAGAAACACAAGCAGAAACACAAGCAGAAACACAAGCAGAAACACAAGCAGAAACACAAGCAGAAACACAAGCAGAAACACAAGCAGAAACACAAGCAGAAACACAAGCAGAAACACAAGCAGAAACACAAGCAGAAACACAAGCAGAAACACAAGCAGAAACACAAGCAGAAACACGAATGTTGCACCAAGAGTTTTGCCCTCAGACACTGAAGCCTTGCTGCCCTCTCTGTGGGCCTCACACTTGTATTTTTGAGATGGAGATGTCCTAAGTGCAGCAGCTTTGTTTTGCTCCTCATGATATTAGGCTCTTCAGCCTACCCAGCTCTAGACTGGGATTCTCACAGCAATGAGATTTTCATAGGCCCTTGTGAAGTGAAGGGGGATTTTCAGGAAGGAACAGAGCATTTGTCTTCTTAATTAGAAGACATCAATTCAGTATCAAAGAGGCAGTCAATATACAGCTAACATGCTAACCTCTGGGTCTCAAGTGGCTGATGCTAATGCAAAGCTTTCCAGATGAATCACTCGCAACCCCACATGGGCCATAGGAGTCTGCTGTTCCCTCTCCCACAAAAATGCAGTTCCATAGTACCTCTCATTTCAGAGGTACTATGGAAAACAACACGAGCTTCCAGAAAAACATCAGCTTTTTAAGACTCAGCAGAATGTGCTATTTGGAAAAAAAAAAACAACAACTAATGGACTCAAGGGTATACTCTAACATCACAATATATGCTGCTTAGTTTAGAGTGAATAGGAGGACAGGCTTCACTGGTTTTTAACCAGATTTTTAAGTGAAACAGCTATTACCACAGGGATTTCCAGAGCTCAGAATGTTCTATATAAAATTCACAAGTGGCTGTCTTTGGGAGAAGAATGTCTTCTCCATTTTTCATTTAGCACTACTAAATGGTGCACAGAGTAAAACTCGTATAATATGGACATCGAAAAGGCACAGCACAGCAGATTCTCCCATGCTGGCAGTGTGCTTCAGTGCCAACATCAAGGGATGATGCTTTAAGGAAGAATGCAGTCTCCATAACCCCACTACTTCACTCACCATTCACTTTCCCTGGCCTCAGCTAACTACAGCAAGCTTCGGAGTAAAGATGCTAGAACAGGAGAGACTCCCATGAGCCCATTCCTTCTAAGTCCCTTCTGAGCTTTCATAAAACAATGACTGTCACTACCAGGGTGACTTCTGAATATGGAGGACTGCACTAAGTATCATTAGTATTTCCATAATTCATTCAGTGCCTAAACTATATAGGGTCTTGAATTCAGTTCAGTCACAAGGAACATGGCTTTCAACTTTTCAGTAACACGAATCTCTGGACAAGAATCCAAAACTACCCAGGAAAAAAGAAACCAAACAAAAGGAAAAAAAAAATCCAGGAATCTCCTTACCAGAAATAAGGATAAACTCCAGTCTCTTAAATTAAAATGCATAAAACCAGAAGTTATTATTGCCTTTGTTACACTAGCCTGGAAAAAAACAACCCAGTACTGATATCTGCAGCAAATACCCTACTTCAAAAAGCAAAGCCCTGGGGCCATCACTGTGGAAAAACAATCTACCTCACACCAGCAACAAAGCCAAGAACTTTGATCATCCCCTAAAAAGCAACACCATGAAAAGCATTTTGTGTTCTACAGGGTCCACAAATGGAGTAAATATTCAATAAATCCCAGCAACTGATACCTTTGATTCTTTGGGTTTGTATTTAGGAGCAAGTTAAGAGTTTCCCCCCCATCCAAGTGTTTTAGTTAAAACTCACAATTCCTTCTTCCTCTCCCTCTTCTGCTATTAAAAATGGGAATATAGACCTGCTGATGGACTGTTTCCAGGAGCAGCAAGAAACCCCTACCTGAAGTCTGTGGGGAAGCTTCTACTTCTAAGTTGGCAGAGAACCGCTCGCTTTGAGCTCCAAGGACTCCAACGGGCAAAGACTGGTCACCAGAAGCTAGATCTCCTTCCAGCTCCTCACTTATGGGGAAAGTAATATCACTGACAGGCTCCTCCTTAATCTTTACAGGCTTTGTGTCTTCTGCTGCCTTTTCAGGGTTGACAATCTTCTCATATTCTTCAGACAGCTGCTTGCTAACCTGTCAAAGATCAATGGGGGTGAAAAAGAAGCCAGAAAGGTCAGTGACTTCAGAGACTCTGATGGCAATTACACTGCAGTGCACTCTGTTCCCACATTATTAACATCTGACCTGAACAAACAAGTAAACAGGTTACCAGCTACACAGAAAAGACTCTTGTTTTTTCCTCTTTAACAACATTTTCTGTTCTGTAACAAGGGAGGTTTAATCCATTAATACATCTCCAAACAGATATGAGCACCTTTATTTCAGACACAGATGATGAGGCCCAGAAACTTAAACGGAAGATGAAACAAAAGCAAAGTGTCTCAGTCTTACTCTTTGCTTTTACCTATAGTACTGTCCCCATCCCCATCTAGGAACAAATTTAGCCGAGCATTAAAAAATAAGCAGCTCAGACACTCATCTGAGCCAAAGCCTGGGTATCTTCTGTCAGATTAAAGCAAAAAACTCAGAAGTCTTCTCCAATGAGAGAAGCGAAACAAATACAGGAATAAGATTTAGCATAAGCCTGTACTAGAAATTTAACAACTGTCAGCAATTAAAAATTTCAGATTTCACCTGCATCTAACAAATACTTGTTTATACCACTGAATCCCAACGGTCAGCAAACTGTGCTCAGGAAAATCCCAAGGCTTTCTAACAGCAGAAGCAAGAAGGAAAAAGAACAGCAAAGCCTACTTCCCCCATCTAGATATACTTTCAGATACAGAGACTGCTGTGGACAGACCTTATAATCCATCACAAAACATACACTTACAAGCATGTCTGATTTATATCGTTTCTGTAAGCCACAAGGTGCCAACCCCAGGAAAATAAGGAGCACAAGGTAATTGCTCCAAAATGAGTCAACTGGTGCTCATCTCCTCAGACAAGGAAGAAGAGATGGCAGGTTTTACCTTTGGTCACAGACTACCTACTTGATTCAGGGCTTGGATTTTGATAAGTAAGAGTTAAACTCCTACTTCAAATCCTTGCATTTCTCTAAGTCCACAACAGGCAGTCTTACATCATTCAAACAAAATGCTTTAATTTCATAGAATACATGGACCAAGAGAAACTATACCCATATTCTTACAACTTATGTGATACCTCTTATTCCAAGGAATTTAACAACTCCTTTGCTTCCTCCATAAAAGCACAGTCCTCTCTAGAGTTGAAAGTAGCACCTCTGTGACAACTCAGATCAGCACAATACTACCCTATACTCCGAAAGCTTAAGCAAGTCACCCCTTGCTGAAGCAAACACAAGCCACTATACATCCTAGTAATTTTTGTTTGTCTCCTTGTTTTCCGAGATGGTAAGCAGCAAAACATCCCATTAAAGCAAAAAATTCAGTCAGTACTGATTCTACCTCTACTTGATGCCTTTCTCTGGGACATTCAAGAGCTATGTGTTAAGCTCCTCTTAAACCCAGACAAACAGCCAGTAGAGCATTCTAAGCCTCAGAAGAGACACAAATAAGGGGCTCTGTCTTCCAGACAAAAAAATGCTTTAATGACGCCCCTCCACATGGTTTCCTAATTGGATTTTAGCTCAGTAAGACCCTGGACTTGCTATAGGAATAAGCAATTGTACTGGGGGTACGTTTCTTGGTGCTGTCAGGTGCCTACAGCTCTTCCCACCTGAAGCATGTAGCTGTGATAATCCTTAATACGGTGCTGCCAGAACTTCTGCAGTGAGAGCACGCTGCCAATGCCCACTTCATGGAAGACCTGCTCCATGACATCAGGGAATGGGGTGTGCCCAAGGCGGGCTTCTCGATCCACTGCAAAGCGCAACAGTTTGGTGAACTTCAAGCAGTACTCGTGGGCAATGTCTGTCAGGGTCTCCAGGACACTCTCATTGGCACACTCAAAGCCTGTGTGAGCCAGGATGGTGGCCATGGACTGGTAGAGAAGCTGCCGGCAGGAGGACCAACTCAGCTCAGTCACTGGTTCCCCTTTTCCTCTGAAAAACAGAACATATAAAAATAGCACATCTCCACAAACTGAAAGCAATGTTACCAGTTGAAGAGATACTGTCAATAATAAAGCGATGTACAAAGGGAAAGCAGATTGTCTGGAGCTGTCCACAGCTTCTCCACCTGGAGAGCTGGACTTGAATTTCTACCAAATGGAGTGCAACAGGGTCACTTCAGAGCCATTTTCCCAAAACAGCAGAATAAAGAAGAACATTGGAAAAACAAGACTACACCAGTCAGAGTGCATCAAAGAGCACAGCACACTAACGCAAACAAGAAAGTCATCTCCTTTTGGAAAAAGGCTTCTTTCCACCTCAACCTCATCAAGCCTCTTTTAAAATATCTTTGCTGCGTCAACAGAAGGCTGCAAATGCATAAAAAGAAACTGCTCAAGAGATTATGGCAAAATAACAGCAAAAATAAATCGTGTCCCAGCAGCACAACCCAGAAGACCAGACAGTCTGGGGGGTAAGCCAAAGTGCTCAGTCCATCAGGGGAAGTTATGTTCTGCCTGCTGTAATTATCACTGCTACAAACCCCTCCCAACATTAAACCTATCCCATTGACATGTGCTCCCCTACCTCTGTACAGACATTTCTTCACTACAAGCCCTTCTGCCATGAACTGCCTTCCCCTTGCAAGCTCCCAGTTTTGTGCACAGATTATCTTTCTATGCAAAGCACACATCCCATGCGGTCAGGAACACAAATGAGAGAATGGCAGAGAAATCTGTTAAGAAACCAATCACGCATGCACAAGAAAAAGCATCTGAGGATGCACATAATGAATAGGTTTATTTTGGAGATGGATCCATGATAATTGGAGGAAGGTGAACAGAGAAGGAAATGCTAACAGTCATATTGTAGTAAGAGCCTCCTGTTCAAATGGTAGTTTCAAGTCTACAGTTCCTTACTCATTCTTCACTGGTAATACTTTAAGCTCACAGTCTGTTTCTATACCAACCAAAACCAAATGTTAATATCGTTACCGTGTATTCCAAGAACCGTAACAGCAACAGCTGCAAATCAGCAGGTCCAGATGCTGATTCATCCGGGAACAGTAAAGGAATTCAAGGATGAAATAGCTGTGGCGATCACCTCTCGCACAGTTGCCTTGGCCCATGAGGACCAGAAGGCAGAAAACGTGAAAACATTTTAATACATTCAGAAGAGATGTGATCAGCTGCAAGCTGGGAAGCCTGAGATATTCTGGTGCGTCAGAGAAATTCCAAGAAATTATAAGAACAGAGTTAAAGGACATGTGGGTAAGAGCCCAGATAGCTTTTGTAAATGGAAAGCCTGCTGTGTAAACCTACTAGAGTCCTCCAAATCCATCCACAAGCAAGTATGTGAAAGATTTCCACTGTGGAGTCCAGGTCTCCCCTTGTGCATCTGTGCCAGAATCAAGGTTTGTTTCAGCGTATTTATGAAAATGGAGGAAAGGAACAGCATTGTTATTAAAACTGATGGTGGTACAGATTTGTGGGGATTGGAAAAAGCAAAACAACTGGAAAATAGCAGTGGATTAGGTTCTGCCTCTTCCTCACCTCAGAAGGGAGAAGGTGGTAGGAGCTACAGGGATGAGGACACAGGGCACACACAGAATGAACCTGGGGGATAGCAAAATAAAAGACAAGAGTGCAGGGTCAAAGGATGACAATGAATAACAAGGCAACAGGAAAGGACATGTCTATATTAAAGAAACTTGTGATCATATTCAGGCTTGCCACTCTTATCTTTCTTTCTTCCTATGTCTAAATAGGTGTATGCATTGCTTCTTCTCAAACCCAGGTTACCGCCAAAGAAAACTGAATTAAAATATGTATTCAGTCAAATACTGTAACTCTGACAATGGCACTTCAGAAGGCAGAATAAAAATAAGCCCTTCCATGTTTTATTAAGGGGAAGAACGGCCTTTAATTTGTTTTTACACACTAAGAGCAAGCATTATCAAACCATATAACTATTTTTACTGCTGTAACAGCACCTGCTGTTCTTAATGCATGTAAGTGTCTTAAACGAGTTAAGAACAAACATGCAACAACAAATGCAAAGCTTTCTTCCTGGAAAAGCATAAATGTGTTTGGTTTAGCAAGCACAGCAGCTCATGAGAAATCCACTGTCAGCCACGAAACATCTCGCTTCAAAAATGTCTATCCAGTTATTACAATCTGGTCTTTAAACTCCCCCATGTGGCTGACTGCTAAATAGCATTTCTTTCCTTAAACCCCAGAAACTCGCAAGGGACAATAAAGAGACATAACAGCCCCCCGAAACATGGACAGAGTCACAGAAAACCGAACTTAAAACTGAAGGCATCAGGGAAGACATTGCAGAGCACTGCTCAGGTCTACAAACTACAAGGCCAGAAAGAACAGGAGTCACAGGGCTCAGACTTCCTTCTCACACAATTGTGTTTCCCTTCACTCCTCCTGGCTAATTACTTTATTTCTTCCAAAGATGATGGTGTTCCTTCACAAACAGCACTAAAGAATCACCCTCATGTTCAGAGGCACTATGTTACCAAAAGCATCATCATGCAATAAAATGCATTTTATACAACCTCAGGCCATTAACGATCTCTGTGGGATTTAACTGTAAGTTCTATTTCACTGGTGCACAGTCTCCCCATTTTAAAAACTAAGAAACATTATCCTCTCATACATCATGTCCATTGGTGCACAGCCTTCAATCTAAGAATGGGAACGTAATGTAGTGAGGATTTATCCCTGAATTTAAATGCATGTAAACTACAAAGTATTGCAAGATCCTGCAAGAGATGCAGCATGTCCTTGTGAATTTAGTGCTTGTCAGAAGGGTAGACAGGGCAGTGGTGGCAGCAGTATTTAGTCAAACATTGGCTGCTGAGGTAGAAGCAATACAACCTTCCTTTATGTTTTGTCCAGCCCTTGGCTAGTAGGGTCAGTACCAGAAACAAGAATTCCCTTCACCCATGCTCATCACCAGCACAACACCAAGAAATGGGGTAAAATGTGATAGTCACATCATCTCAGGTCCTTGGCCACTGAACTCTTACAAAAGCACATTTATTTTAAATAATGTGCATGTTATCCACACAACAGAAAACTCAACCTTTCCTTTCTGAAGCCTGTTTCGCACTTTGAAATCAAGTGTTTGACCCTTCAGCCTAATGGAATTGATGTAGCTATATATATATATATATGTTCAAAAACACTCAGTTGGTTCAGTCAAGAACCAACCCAAGGAAATACCAACACACCTGTAGAAATCACTCTCCGGGTCACTGTGCCTCAGCTGAAATGGCATTTTTGGGGTTTTGCTATCCAGAGGAAGCAGGTCATCAGGGAGAGGCGGAGAGGCCGGACGAGACGGCAGAGGTTCATTGTCTTCAGCTTTTATACCCTCCGCTTGCTGCTGGTTCTGAGCCTGAGCCATGGCGATGAGGCTGCGCAGCCGCCTGTTGTGCTGGATGAGCTGGATGGTGTGAATGGTGAGGCTGCAGGGCTCCGAGGGGATGTCCAGCATGGTGGTGGGACGGGGTTTGTTCGCAGAAGGCTGGTGCAGTGGAGGATCCTGGACTTCCACTGTACGGAACTCACGCTGAAGCAGGTCAAAGGAGCTGCGGTTGGCCTGGTTAGATGAAACTGGAATCTCGCCCCAATATCGCAGCATCTTTGCCCAGGAGAAGGCTCCCGAACGCTGTGGTACAGAGGAGCCCTGTCGCAGGGGAAAGGGCTAAGCTTTGGACAGCAATGGGAGCTGGGTGACACTCCTGAATGAAGCCGACTACGAGCGCCACGAAAGCCGCCGCTCAGTGCCTCACGACGCTCCAGGCCGCAGCGCTGGCACTGAGCAGGTTACATCGCTGCTGCTCCTGAGGGGGAAGAGAAAGAAACGCACCCGTGAGGCAGTAACTACTTATGTCTCTAACAGGGGCCGCTCTGGGTCTATCCCCTGCGGGCCCTCGCTTGAGCAAAGGAACTCCGGAGGCCGCACTCGGCTCTCCCACCCTCTGTGCCTCCCTCCTTCGTCCTCACCGGGGCTCCCAATACCCCGCGCCCCCGCCGCTACCCCCGGCCTACCCGCTCCGCTTGCCCGCCGAGCCGGAAGTGGGCCCTGGTCCTTCACCAGAAACCGTCCCCCCGCCACCACCGCTCCTTCAAGCCGGCAGAAGGGAAAAAAATCGGCGTCGCTCCCGCCGCCGCCGCCTACTCTCCTTGCCTCACCCCTCACGCTACCCTGGGCCGCAGCTGGGGCAGTGGCTCGACACCCTGGAGCCACTCATTACCCCCGGCACTGCAACCGCAGCGGTGCTCGTTTCCGGAGGACTCTATTTAGGACCGGACCCGGGAAGATGGCGGAGGCCGTGGAGCTGCAGCCGGAGGTTGCCGTCGAGCCCCCCGCTTTCAAGCGGCCGAGCTGCCCGCTGCCCGCCGCACCCCGCGCCGCGGAGGGTGGGGAGCCGGGGCCCAGCCCGCCGCCAGCCCGCCCTGCCGCCGCGCCGCGCTACGAGGAGCCGCCGTGGGGAAGCCGCCCTCCGGACGGAGCCGGCTACGGGCTGGAGGTGCTGAAGGGCGGCGTGGTGCTGGGCTCGGTGAGGCTGGAGGGCGGCAGCTGGTTCCTGGTGGGGCGGCTGCCCGGCTGCGCCCTGGCGCTGGAGCACCCCTCGGTGTCGCGGCACCACGCCGTGCTGCAGTACCGCGGCGCTGGCTGCGCCCCCGATGACCCCAACGCCGACGATGCCGCCGGCTTCTATGTGTACGACCTGGGCAGCACCCACGGCACCTTCCTCAACAAGACGCGGGTGCCGCCCCGCACCTACTGCCGGGTGCGGGTGGGTCACGGGCTCCGCTTCGGCGGCAGCTCCCGCCTCTTCTTCCTGCAGGTGAGTCGGGGCCCGGGGCTTGTGTCGGTAGAAGCTTCCCCGGATCGAGCTCCGGGATTTACTTGTCTCCATCTTCATCTCTATGGGATGGGAAAGCCGCTTCTGCCGTGTGAGGTGGTTTGGGTGCTATGAAAGCAGCCGAGCGCTGCTATGGTGGTTGTGCTGGCAAAAGTAGTCAGTTGTAAGTATCCGCTGCGAGCTCTGTGGTGAGGTTTGGGGCTGAAGGACAGAGCAGCGCATTGCGGCATCACTCTGGGCGGCTCTGCGGATTGCTCCGCATGAGAACAGGGCTGGCAGCTTCTGCCGGCGTGCAGTGAGTGCAGAAGGCATTTCTCTCCGGCAGGATGATGCGTTAGTGAAGTGAAACGCTGATATTTCTGTGTGAACAAGGGCAGCTTTCATTAGCAGAAATTTAGGGCACTTGGTGTGCTTTGCACATATGTCAGAGGCTGCTCGTTACATTCTTCCATATGGTGTTGAGGGACTTTTTTACCTTCTGTCTTTAAAGTACAGCTATATTTGAGTTTGGTCTGACTGCAAGTACACAATAACACTCACCTCTTTTTTTCTCCCTTTCAGAAAAGGCTTTAAGACTGATATGTTCAGTTATGCAAGCTGTAACAAATGGTCTAATAATTCCACTTTTTGAAGAGCACTGTAATGATTTATTTATGTTATTGTATGGAAACTGGATCTGTGTTGAAAATACCTCTTTATTTTTCTTTTAAAAACCATTTTTGCTAAGTTACTGTTTGTGACTTAGGGACCCAAGGAGGACCAGGAGTCTGAGTCAGAACTAACTGTGACTCAACTGAAGGCACTGCGCAAGCAGCAGCAAGCAAAGCTAGAAAAGACAATGTTGGGAGAGGACTCTGATGAAGAAGATGAAAAAGAGGAGAAAAATGAGAGGAGTCAGAACGGTGATATGAGCTGCTCATGGGGAATGGGTAAGTGATGATGTGTAAATCAGCTGATACATCTTGGAAGGTCTTTAAGCCAGTTTTCAGGGAATACCAGGGTTGAAATTCCAGCTTTATGCCAGGAAAGTCTTGGCTACACAGTAATCCTTTTAAAAAGAAGAGTGCTGTGACAAGGGAAGCTTGTATTTGGTGAGAAGTATGACAGAGCTCTTTTAGATGCGGGGAGGAATTTGCCTATGCCTGTAAAAGACCATGAAACTGAGAGTCTAGGTTTGTTCACACTTCTGCCTGAGAGGTGAAATTTAATTGCTTGAGACTTCTGTGCAGTATGGTTGTCTTTAAATTTAAAGAAGTCCACATCTTAAAGCTAGATAAATTGTAATTAATGAGCTGTTCAGGCCAAAAGGACTTGGGGATTTTGAATGGAAATATATAAGCACATAATCCTTTAATGTGCTGACACAGCAGTGATGTTCATCTGCAAAACTGCATCTTATGATAGAATGAGTAATAGTAAAAATGAAGCAGAGGTTTTTTTTGGTTGGATGCAGAAATAATATTCAAGCTAAGGGAAATAATCTTAGGATTACATAGCTGCTGCTTCTTTCAAACTAAAGTTGAAATATACTGGTGATCTCTTTCTCCCGTTTCACCATACTTTTGCACTTTCTGTGTCTTGTAGGGGACGATGCTGAGGAGGATGAGGTTGAAGAAAACCCTATTGCTGTTGATTTTCAGGATGTGCAAGATGCCTTTTATATGAAAGATCCTAGGAAGGCCTTACAGGGCTTTTTTGACAGAGAAGGTACTGTACAATTTTTCTAAGTTTAACGTGAATTTCCTGTTTACCAAAGTGTGATGTTTATGCCCATGTTTGCCTTTGGGAATTAAGGTGTAGGAGCTAAACTTTTCTCTTACCTTGTGATCAAATTTTGGGTGGGGGTTGGTGGTGGTTTGAGTTCTTTGTGTGGTTTTGTGTTTGTGGTTTGGCTGTGGGTTTTTTTGTTACTTTGTTTGATTTGGTTAATTTAATTTAATTAGTTAGTTTAATTTAATTAATTAAAACTTAGATCACCATTGTATATCTGAGACTTCCTTAGTTACTAATTCCTAAACTGGGAATTGTAGCAAGAGTTGTATGCCTTTGGAGCAACACGGAAACCACAACCATGCTTTGAAGCTATGCTGAAAGATTCATACCCATCAAATCTCAGTCTGTTCTGTTTGGCAATGGCTGTTATTGCGAGATAGAATTGGAAAGTCCAACAAGACAAATGGCAGTAATGAATTGCTCTGAACTTCCAGTGGTTGCTAGTGAAATTTACAGATGACTCACTTATTTGTGAAAAATTAATCTTCAAAATATCTGTGAGTTCAGACTGAAAAATGGCATTACTTCAGTGTCATTTACTTGAATACATATAGAGACAAGATTGTTTTTTCTTTGAACTACACTGTGAAAAACAACCACATGAGCATAGTACCAAGAGAAGATCCCATGGCAAATTCATGCTTATAACAAGGGCAACTTAACCTGTTTTTTTTAACCATGACATTCTTCTCTGCTGTAATGATTATTCTTGTTTATTTCAATTTTGGTTACTACATCAACTTTCTTTTTCTCTCTAGGAGAAGAGTTAGAATATGAATATGATGATCGTGGGCACAACAGCTGGCTATGCAGGATCAAGTATGTATCTCCATTCACTTTCTCTGCGTAGAAGCTGACTTCATTGAATTCACAAACAGAGCCTGAAGGAATTACTTGTCTTGTCACACTTGGCAAGGAGGCCAACTGGAATTTGATACTGAGACAGAAGTTCAAGGATCAGTGCCTGGTTTAGTGTCTGTGCTCCTTTCTGGTCTGGCAGCGTGGAGACCTCATAGCAGCCTCCCCATCTGAAGGGGGCCTTTAAGGATGCTGGGGAAGGACTCTTCATTAGGGACTGTAGTGGTAGAACAAGGGGTAATGGGTTCAAACTTAAACATGGGAAGTTTGGATTAGATATAGGGAGGAAATTCTTTACTGTAAGGGTGGTGAGGCACTGAAATGGGTTGCCCAGGGAGGTTGTGAATGCTCCATCCCTGGTGGTGTTTCAAGGCCCAGTTAGACAGAGCCTTGGGTGAGATGGTTTAGTGTGAGGTGTCCCTGCCCATGGCAGGGGGGTTGGAACTGAATGATCTTAAGGTTCTTTCCAACCCTAACTATTCTATGATTCTGTAAGGCAGTTTTTGATAGGTTCCTGCAAGAGGCCACTAACGTAACTTTGTTATCAGAAGAAGGTGAGGTGAAAATTAAGTCAACAAGGTAGGTTTCAAATGGATAGGAGCAACATTACAGTGACTGTACTGCTTAAGAAACCTTTCCTTCAGTATTTGTTAGTGGTTGCATGGATGCAAGCTACTGGTGCTTAAAATGATTCTGAGACTGACATTTAACTTTTTAGCTTGTTATATTCCCAATGGAATGAATATAGGAAGAGTTACTGTTTGGACTAGTGAAATAAAATGTGTGCTTTAGGTTATCTTGTGTTTCGATTGGTACTATATGAAGTGAAAAGTGAAAAATACTTAACCCACCGGAAAAGACCAGATTAAAACGGAAAGAACAATGTCACTATGATAAATAATATATGTTTGTATCTGAGCTGTTCTCTGATGTTTCAAACTGAACAGGTTGCCCGTGGATGATGCATCAGGGAAGCAGCTGGTGGCAGAGATTCTCCATTCAGGAAAGAAGAAGGAAGCAATGATACAGTGCGCCCTGGAAGCTTGCAGGCTACTCGATGCTCGGGGAGTACTAAGGCAAGAAGCAGGTGAGTAATGAGTCAAATGCTGTGATTGTTCTAAAAGCCTTAAATTAGGGATTTGC